TTCAGCAGAACTCAGTTTCTTAGATATGAAGATACATGATTATAGAATATCTTCATTATTATATTATAATATTACTTCTTCTATTATATAGTCAGAGAAATCAGCTTCAACAACTATTTTATAATCAGAATTAAATATTATCAGTAGAGAGATATTAATGAATATCTTCTTTATCTATATAAATGCAGCTTCAGTATTCACTGATCATTGAAATACTGAGTCTTTCTTAATAAGATCTGTAAGTGATCTTATAATATCTGAGAAGTTTTGTATAAATCACTGATAGAAGTTAGTAAATTTAATGAAGCTTTGTATATCTTTCACAGTATACAGATCTTTTCATTCAAGAATGATAAAGACTTTCTCAGAATTCATTTGAATTCTATTGTCAGCTTCTATAATAAAACTCAGATACTTGATACTCTTGACTTTAAAATCATACTTATTAATATCTATTAGTAGTTCTGCTTTCTATAGCTGTTGTAATATCTTTCACACATGCTCTTGATATTCTTTTCTGAATTTATCAGTAAAGATGAGAATGTTATCTAGATAAGTAGATATAAACTCATTAAGAAAATCTCAGAGTACTCAGTTAATATACTTCTGAAATATACTGAGAATATTAGTCAGTTCAAAGAGTGTGACTATTTATTCAAAGAGATCATAATATGTTTAGAATGCTGTAAATTATTCATCTTCTTTAATAATATCAATTTTATGAAACACAGTGATAACATCTAGTTTTATAAATTATTAAGCTTATCTGATTCATGCTAGAATTTCATTGATAAGAGATAAGAGATATCAATCTTTCTTTATTAATCTGTTCAGATCTCAGTAGTTTACATAGAATTGAAGTTCTTCATCTGATTTCTTTGTAAAGAGAATAGAGACTGCAGTGAAAGAGTTACTAATATATATAAATTCTTTATTTAACAGATCATTAAGTGTCTTTTGAAGAAGAAGAAGTTCATCTCAGAACATGTTATAAAGAGAGTTCTATAACAGTTTGAGATTCTTATCATTCTTTTTCTCTAACTTGATACTGTGATTCACTTGAGAATCTCATAAGAGAGATATGTTTATAATATTATCTTATCAGAAGATATCTAGATATTCATAATATTATTAAGAGAGTTTTGTACAAGAATCTGTTATTATAATATAAAATAACTTTTCTAGAGTCTTTTTAATATCAGTCAGACTGATGAAATAGATTGATATATAATTCTACTATCAGTGATTCTTTCAGTGACTTCTTTTTCTGAGTATTTTATAGATATTAACAGAGATCTGTGTCAGATCAATAGTCTTGTGAATATCATCTTTGTGAATTCTATTATTATTAGAGAATATCAAGCTTCTGTTTTAAGTATTTAATAAGATGTCTTATTCAGATAGTCAGGCAAGTTCTAACATAAGATTGTAATCAAGATTATCAACTTCATATACATAGACATCTTTATATTGATATTCTCTCATATCTATAGTCAGCTTTATTATATAACAGATACAAATGTCTTTTAAATCATTAAATTCTGCAAGAAGTCAAGATTTTGATAAAGAGATACACTGAAGGTTATAATGTCTTATGACTGAAGATTTTATCATTGTATAGTAATATAGAACTTTCATATTATACATGTTATCAATCACAGTAGATACAAGAATTGTATTTATTATTATCTTCTCTTTAAATTATTATCATCTGACCTCTTTAAGCTTCTGTTTATAAATTTAGATAGAAGTTAATCTTTTCTCTGTTTCATCAGAGCATTCTTATAGTTATCTTCTAAATCTTTCTCTAATATAATATGATTGATATGAACAGGCACTGATTCATTCTTTGAATGAGAAGATGCTAATCTTTCTCTCAAGTATGAAGATACATAGATTGATTAGCAGTTGACAGTAATGTGTTCTGATCAGTTACAGTTAATATATACTTCATATTAACATTGATCAGTAACTTCTTTGAGAGTGATCTCAGAAACTTAAAAGTCTGTTCAGACAGTGAAGACTCTTGCTTATATATAAATATTTAAGTCTACTTAATTCATGACATCTGTATCATTGTTATTCCTCAGTGTGAGTGTATAAGTCACTGAGATATAACATCTTCTATCACTGTTCTGTATATTCTTGAGCTTGATAAGACAGTTATTCATTGTCTGAAGCTGTGTGTAGAAGTCTTTATAAGTCTGGTCTTTATCTGCACTTATAAGAGTCTGTAAGAGTTTAAAAGTTAATATCTTCTTAAGTATACTAATCTTTATTTAATTCTCTTAAGATTGATTATCTGCTTCTAGAATCTTGATGTTGAAGTCAGAGATAAATATTATAAGAGAAGTATTTCTCTATCAGATACTCTGTAATCAATTTAATACTTTCTGTTGTATAATAGTATCTCAGAACAGAATATCAAGATATTTAATAATATTATCAGATGTTTATAACACTGATTTATATACTTTTATTCATAAATGAAACTTCTGTTTCATACAATTCTTCAATTATTCATTAATATATCAATCTTGATTAATTAATAAACTGATGAAATCTTCATCTATACTCAGTTTCATGAGTATTTTCATTCTTTATAATAAGTAGAGAGTGAGATCAGAAGTATTAAAATATATAAAAGTATTTAAGCATTCTTTCAGCACTTTTATATTTGATTCTGTAGATATTAGAATTGTATGAGTTAATCATTAAATCTCTTTATATTGAAGTTGTTGAGTTGCATGTATATCAGCTATTTATTATTATTATAATTTCAATATTACTCAGAGTCACTGTGATATTATATCTATACTCACATTTGAGAGTTTCATATTATTGTTAGATATGATTATATCAATTATTGAATATATAATAGCTGTGAAATCTGAAGAAGTGTAATTATATTCTTATATATCTGAGTGTCAGAACTCTCAGATCTTTCACTGATATTCTCTTATAAGATTTTATTCTCTTTATAAGATCTTATTACAGAGTTAGAGTAACTGATGAGTAAGCTTCTCTCTGAGAACTCAGTGTCTGCTTAACTGTTTGACTGTTTCTCTATTTCTTATGTGTTATTATGTGTTTAAATATCTCTTGATAAATAATTATTTCTGATGAGAAGATAATATGTGAATAATTATTTTCTAATAAGAAGATGATGAACATTTTTATAGTGTAAGAGGCTTACACTGAATAGATCAGTATAATATTGATAGGTCTTATATAACAAAGATAAAAATGTTAAAGAAGGAAAGAAAGAGGAAGTGTGAGAATCAGTGATTGAGATGAATATTTATATGTGTATGTGGTGGTGTACGCGGTGGAGCTTCAGAGTGGAAGAATATGCGCGTGTTCGTAGCGGCCGCGGATCGGCGATCGGGAATGGAAGAATCTATGGAGTGTAATGAAATAGTCTATATAATTGATCGGGCGCAGCCCGCCACAACATGACTATTTCAAATCTTATATATAAAGATTTAATGATAGATTTGATTCAATAAAATGCTCATTCTGCAATATAAATGAGAATTCTGAGTATATTGTAATGCACTGTGCATTATACAATAGTCTCAGAGTTAGATTGAAAGAGAAGTATGATCTAAATTAATTAAATATAAGATTCTTATTCTCAACTGAGACAGGAATTAAATACTTAATAGACTTTCTATCAGAAACTTAAGCAGCTACAAGAAAATGACTGAATTCAGAAATATTTAAATATGAAGAGGAGGAAATTAATCAGATATAGTCTGTTAAAACAGCTATATACTATCTTTCAATAATTTGTTTCATTACAGTGTCTTATTATTTTACTTTACTTTTTTCTTTCTATTCTTTTCTATCTATCTATTTAATGTGTCTATCTTTAAGACTGTGTTCTCTTTTCTTTTATCATATCAAATGATTTCAAAGTATCAGAAGATGTTAAAATACTGTAATTTATAAACAGTTTTTATATTCTAAGCTGAAATTTTCTGATTTTATATATCTGAAATTGATGAATGTATAATAGTTAACTTTATAGATATAGGAAACACCCTGAGAACTTTTAGTTCTCAGATAGATATTATAGTCTCTGACTGTATACATCTATAATTAGACTGATCACTGAGATTATGAATTTCATGTTTAATCTCATTTAATCTGATCTCATACATTTCTTGATGTGAATCTCACTGAGACTGACTATTAAAAAAACATGTAAAGTGACTATATATCAGATCTTAAAATGAAATCATGACTTGAAAAAAATGAGAAAGTAATCTCATTTGATTTCATTTAGTTTCATTCTTAGTATAAAGTTACTATTTTTAGACATTTTAAGGTTTTTTTTAGACTATTTTTAATTTTTTAAAAAGTAACACTTTTTGGTAACACTCAAATGAGATTTAAAGTCATTTAAAGCAATAAAAATAATTTAAATTGAGAAGTGAAAATCATGATCTCATTTGAAAAATGTGATAAGAGTAGACAGTAAGTCTCACTGAGACAGTATGAAACTACTATCTAATGTTAAAACTGTGTAATGAGATTAGTCAAATTGGTAATGAGACTATCAAAAAATCTGGTTCTGGTCTCAGACACGGTCACATGATCAGTCTATCTATAATTGAAGAATAATAATAATAATACAGCTTTAAATACAGTCTGAGAATGAATGAAAGACTGTCTTTAGAACTGTACTGAGATTATTTGAATATCTAGTGATGTCTTTTAATTTGACTAATATCTCTGCAGTATTTCAGTCTTTCATTAATAAAACACTTTATATATATTTGAATATCTTCATAATAATATATCTGAATGATGTGATGATGTACTCTATGAAGAAGAAAGAACACACTGAGTATATGTAAAGTATGTTAAAGGCCTTAGATAAGGCAGAACTGTATGTTAAGCTTGTAAAGTGCAACTTCAGTGCTTATCAGATTAATTTCCTAGAATATGTAATCACTGCAGATGATATTCAGATGAAATCTTCACAGATTAAGACGGCAAACGGAAGAACTTAGTTCCTCACCTGCCAAGACCACAAAATGCAGTCCCCATTTGGTAATAATTTATTAGTACACGTCAAACAACGCTCGATTGCCTTTTAGTCTCCTTTTCCCTTCATCTGGTTTTGATATACCTTGGGTAGTTTGCAGCTAGGATCCTTACTGTACCTTTGAGTATATAGCTCCTCCTGCAGACCTCCTAAAATGTCAACACCCCAAAGTCCCGAGACTGCGGAGCGACCTACAGCCCATGGCGGGCCAAAGTGTACCCCTGCTGAGCTACTGTTAAAGGTCGTCCTTGCGGGCACATTGACTCACTATGAGACTCGGGGTATGATTGATGATAAACGGTTAGAACATCTGCTGCTTTCTGGGAAGCAGATTCTGTATAAGAGCCATCAGGAAAGCGAAGTCAGGTACGAGGCCCTGTCCCACATGCCCCTCAATTGCCGCCTCTCCAAGGTTGGACAATGGCTGACGACGCGGGGGTTTCGTCTCTATTTTTAAATTTGCTTTGTAAGAAAAGCAGCAGCATCGGAGTTGCTAACTTTCCCATAGACAGAATCTGGGCTTTTCACCGGCGATATGGCAAGGCCTCACCGACGTGTTGAGCAAAGCTATCCCCGTTCTCGAATCACAATCTTTGGCAGCTCCCGGAAACTGCGAAGAGTCCTCCTCCAACCTCATAGCATATAACTACTTTTCTCTGGTAAAGGATATTGAACGGCTGAACGATCTCTGTACGATTGCACGCAATCTACTTGCCACGACAAAGAAAGCTCAAAATCTCGCTGCTGAGAAGGGTTTTGATCAAAGAATCTTGTTACTTATTGACACATGTGTCAGGGTTACTGCTAGGGGTTACGATGGCGAGAGCAACGCCAGAAATGAAGAAAGATGGCAAAAAGTTGTCAGTCTCTACAAACGGTTGCTAATCACTTGCCTCCAGTTCCTCCATAATTTTATCATGCATAACGAGCATCGGAAACTTGTGTTGTGGCTAGATCTCTTCGGTTATCATCAGAATGGCGAGTCAAGTATAATAACACCCATGGAACCGCTGGATACTGGCAACTCACCTCCACAGGGAGTAGCGCCAGTTGTTCGAGCGGGAGAACGAATTGTCAGTCCACCCTTGCGAACGATCTACGACCAAAACGCGGAGGATATGTTGCTGGAAACGATTTCTACTTTCCCTCGAGAACCGGCGTCGTCGAAGGAAGAAGCGGCTATGATGCTGCTAGCCAACGTGAAGGATCATATGGAGAAGCTACTGGGACGGAATCTGAAGGAAATCCAGGAGATGGGTAAGGATCCAGAACGAGCTACAGAAATCCGTGCTGCGCTTACTGCGATTATACCAGCCAAAATGGAAGGCTGGGCAGATTTGAAAGACCGATTACGTGAAGATGGGAGCGCCCTCGCCCTCGGCGAAGAAGAACCAACTCGGAAGAAAGCGATTATTAGCATCGATCGGAGTGCCACGACGGGTTATCCACGAACGTGTTGGACCGACTTGCCGGATTTAGATGAATACGGTGCCATAGCGGCGGTCGACGCCCCAGTTACCGCCCAAGACACCACGATGTCACGATCCCCGCAGTCAGCAGCAGAGACATTACAGGAAGCGAAGGATGAGCTAATGGCTAGGCTGCAAGAGTCCTCGCCGATCATGGCCAACGCGGGGCTACATTACGAGTCGGTGGATGGTAATGGTATGCCACCAGATGACGACTCGCGTAGCCTAGAGGCTGGTGTCGACGGCAGCGTCGATGAGGAGGAAGACGACGAGGATGATGATGACGATTATAGAGGTCGGCCTGGGGACCAGCAACGTGGCTTACTCACAGATATTCCTCTCGTTCTAGGCCCTGCGGAAATCGAGGCTCTGCCCATGATTATCCAAGCCGGCATTGTTGACAGTTTCGGCCTAAAGGGCGGAGAAAGATCGGGAAATAAAAATATGCAGGCTGTCCGGTGCCATATTCTTCTTGCTCAGGAGACAGGCCGAAACCTTCTCCGCGAACTATTGATTTTCATTGCTGCCTGGGACCTTCCAGACGAGGAATTTTACTTCAAGATGATGGTACAAATCATGGACGCCGTGCTTAAGAATGGCCTAATGTCCCATGCTTATTCGGATTTCGGTCAAGCGAAGGACATTATCTCGCCCGCCCAAGCTGTAGTAATTAAAATCCTCACGCACATCTTCCGGGGCAAGTATTCACCTCCCAATATTACCTCGACGACAGAGACACCGACTGGCAGAAGTTCTGTCCCAGTCACCAAGGTCGATGTGCTGACCGTTCGCTACATTTTTACAATTTTCCGCGGTAACATTATCCCAGAAACCTGCGCTCTAATTTACCTACAGGGTCAAATCCGTGCGGGACATGCACGCCCTGAGGACTTCCCACTCAACCTCTGGGACATGGAACGTGTGTATGAAGGTGTATACCAGTTTCTGGAATTCTTCGCTGTCCTTACAGAGAACACTGGGTGGAAAAACCTTCTCGTCCAGTGGGAGATTGTGTACGACTTGACCACCCTTCTTAAAGAGTTGGAGGCGAGTATCCCTAAAGGTTCATTGAACTCCCTCAACTCCGCCGGCACTGCAGCTTCACGTGTTGCAGCCCAACCACCAAAAGATACATCAGCAACGCAAGGTGCAAGCAACGTTCCTGTTGCGGTTGAGCGACCATACGACACGAACGATCAGGAACCGACCGATGCCACAACTGTCAGTGCGGGATCTAGAGCCCATTCCCCGCCCCTAGGCAACGACGATCCGTCCGACTTCGAGTGGCGTAATTTGAAGAAACTGGTAGTTCTCGTCCTCTCCTCGCTCGTATGGCAATGTCCGGAAGTCCAGAACCAGATCCGCAAGTACGGGGGTTTGGAGACTATTCTGGCCTGCACTAATTTCGATGCGCATAACCCGTACATCAAGGAACATGCGGTGCTGTGTCTCAAGTTTTTGCTTGAGGGTAATCGGGAAAATCAACGGGTGATTGAGGAGCTGGAAGCGCGGGAGGTTGTTAGTGATGAGGGTGGAGTTTTAGAGAAAGGGGGATATGAGGCCGTGATCAATGAAGGGAAGCTGGCGATTCGGACGAAGAAGGATGCGCAGGCAACTGCGGATGCTGACGTGTCGTCTTCGAATACATAAAATGCCGTTTGAGCTACCGCTTTGACAAAGGACCTTTGTGGGAAGGATTGGATCTGCTTCTGATTACGATGGAATGAATACTTTGACTGGAAAATGGAGGAGTTTATATTGGATTATTTTTCGTGGGGCATGGTTTCTGGCGCATTTTATGGGTGGCTCTGGATGGGCGGAGCATTTTATTTCTTTTCTTCTTAGCGGGTAGTCCGGATATATCCAGAGATGATCTTCCTCTTCCAAAATTTAGATGCGTGTAAGAGAATATAATTTACCACACGCGCTCCATACAACGCATGTGGTTAGCATGAATAAATGTTGAATAGAGGAAGGAAAGCTGAATGATCACTAGGCACGATACACTGAAAAAAAAGGTCAAATCCGACTCCATCAAGAGGAAAACATTAACTCCATGCATGCATTCATTCCCAAATTGACATTCAAATCCAAGACGAAGCAAATGGTAAATAGTAGCCACTCTCCATTCTTCCATCCCTTCGCCATGAAAGATATCAGACAAGGGAGAGAGAGGAGCGGGGAAACACGTCTACTGCCCCTTGTCATCTCCACGAGAGAGAGCAACCCGGCACACCAATGCTCATCCATACATCCCATCCCATTCCTCCTCTTCATCATCACCAGCCCTATTCCCGCTTCCCCTCTTCATCAATCGCTCGATCCTCTCGCGCTCGCGCTCGCGCTCCTTCTTGCCAAAATCAGCCCGGTCAAGCGGACACGTCCCGCGTAATCGGAGCCAAGGCCGTACGCATTCGAGATCGAAGAGGTGGGAGGTGTGGCAGGGGAGACGGACGACGAGCGGATATGGATCGTCGAGGAAAGGGTTGCTACAGATTGGACAGGCCTGCGTGGGTTTCAGGCTGGAGGTCGGGACGCGCTCGAGGGCTGGTGTGTATGATGTGGGTTAGCAAAGCTAAGATGGTAATAGAGCAGTGGAAGTGCTGCAAAATAGCGCAATTGGCACCATGGCAAAACGTCAAGTTGTAGTTGTAGTTGTACCGTTAGATCGTGAATAACATATGTAAAATAATAATCAACAAAAATTAAACAACATACCATCGCAAAACGCCTCCCCCACCCCCTCCACCTCCCTCGGCGGCGCCTCCGCCTCCCGCAACAAAAGCCCAATCATGCTCGACAACAGCCCCTCTCCCCCCGTCGCATCTCCGTCTTCCGCGACATCCCGCAGCCCCTCATCACGCCCGTCATGGACCGGGAACCCGTCATCCCCCGTTTGATGGCGCATGACATTCAGCGCCTCCGCGAGCGATCTGTACGCGGCGCTGATGTCGCCTGGCACGGGTACAGCATATGGCCGCGTGCGGATCTCGCTGGGGTTCGGTGTGATTTCTTGTAGGGTTGCAAAGAAGGAGGAGAGGTCGGGTCGGCGGGGTGTGGCGCGGGGGTTGCGGATATCATTGCTGTTGGCGCTGGAGGGGGTGGTGGAATGTTCGACTGTGGGGTGGGTCAGTTCTTTGATCTCGCTTTTTGGAGGAAGAACGAATGGGATAGAATGGATATCTCCATTGCTTGGAGTAGTTTTGCACGTAAGTGGCGGAGAGGATTAATGTTCATACCTTCGTACGACATGGCGGGAACAATTAATGATGTCGTCCACGCTGGATAATCAAGAGAAGAGGGAAATAGGATGAGGGAATTGGAGATTTAATACACGATTCCGTTTGAGTAAGTGAACTGCTTGGGAATTTTGGTTCTGTTTAATTCGTGGTGCTGTGAGCTCTGGGAGCTTCTTGTAGGCGGTTGGAACTGTAGTAACTAGTAGTGGATATAAATAAAAGCCATGTTCGGCTTGAAGGCAGAAGGCGTGGCGCGTCATCCCGCCGGTAACCCCTGGATGGATTGTGGCTTGTAAGGGTTTCTTCCACGAGCAACAATGATTAATTTACTCAAAAATGTCTAAGTATATATATATATATAATATAATCCTTGAAGTTGATGATGTTACGCATATACATGTAATATATTCTAGGTCTCATTATGATCAATATCATCATGTGCCAGATCAAGGGCAACTAACGATGTGGGCAAATTAATAAAATATCAAACAGTGCAAGTGTGGGCATATCAAAAACTCAGTAGCCGAAATCTTCATAAACAATTTTCTTCCCCACAAGCCAGTTCAGCACTGAAGCCTTCAAACTCGTGCCCGCACAAAGATACCACTCCTCCGCCCCTGGAACATCCAGATCACCTGCCTCCATTCGCCGGTAATGGAACTGTACCCCAGAATCGTTTATAGCTGTTAAATTAGTTTTCTCGTCCTCTGTTAGGGGTCTCTCCGTTGACTGCGAGCCGGTGATGAAGAGAACGGTAGATTTGGGAAGTTCAGGGAACAGTTTGAATGTGGCCAGCACGAGGCCTAGATCTTGAACGGAAACAGACCAGAAAAGTCGTAGTCGGTGTATATCTATTCCTGGAAGTTGCGCGATGAGAGGAGTAATCCCTATCCCACCAGCAATATAAGGAAGAGACGCGTTTTCACCCTCGGTATTGGCTTTGAACCTGAAATCGCCGGCGTACCCCTTAAGTAGCACTTCAACTCCACTCCGCTCGTTTGACTGGAACAAGTGCCTTGTGGTGGCGCCGTGTTTCCTCACTGTAATTTCAAACTCGTCGTCAGAAATACCCCTCCCTGGATATGATGATACGGTGAAGGTGCGGATATAATCGTCGTTGATGCTCGTGGGGTCGTCATCTTTCATATGGCTATATCCCATATCAAGTTCACCAGCGAACGAAAGCGTTGCGTACTGCCCGGGAGTCCATTTCCCCACCTGTGAGGGATCGGAGACTTTGAATCGGAATCGACCAATGGAAGGCGTTATGATATCTTTTTTGATGACCGTCGCCGTCGTAGAATTCTCGTCTGGCACCTGAATGGATGGCGCCACCTTTTCAGTGGTTAGGTACCGTACCGGCGGGTTATATGGAGACGGCTGACCCGGCTGTCCTCGAAATGCAAGGCCATTTTCAACATATCTCGCGCTTGTTACTATGACTTTGACGGCTAGATTGGACCTAGGAAGGAGAGCCGCTGCAGCCTTCCTAACCAGAATTTCTGTTTTCCCGGTGAGGTAGAGAACGTTGCCGTTTTCAAAGCCAGGGAACACATATCCTGCAAGTGGAGTCATTTGTAAGTTGCCTAATGTTTGGTAGAGGCGATTTCCGGAGTATTCCGGGTAGGCTATTACAGCTCCGTTAATACCATTAGAGACTACACGGACGAACCCTGGTGCGCCCCCGCGAATGTTGGTACCCATAGATTCTTCATAGGATGATGATATGAAGAGGGTGTCGGCCTGGCTGAGAAGTTCGATAGCCTCAGGGGGAAGCTGTGGTGAGTCAGATATCAACTTTGGGTTTGGCACAACTGGGGTGATTTGCTTTCGGTTGATATATTTCGGGCAATTTCCTGTCAATTCTAGTTAGATAATCAATGTGCATTTTGCGTGGCCGTTACGAAACGAGGCTGCAGCGAAGATAGCTAGGAAACCGTCAAAAAATAACACCCATGCCCTATACTGTTCTCCGCTGAGATAGAGTTGCAACCTATATTCGAAAAGGGTTGTTTCTGCTCTAGGGGAATAGGAATAGCGGAACAGAAGGGACTCACCGATACTCTGCTCAATTTTAACAACAAGCTGGGCTTGGCCAGCATGTAGAGGTTCGTTTCCCTGCTTATCGGGATCCGTAGCCTCCAAGCCTGCTAGATTTCCTGCAACCATTCTCCCCATCAACTTCACCCTTTTCCTAGTCTCCATATCTAGAGATAGCCCAGACATCAACCGGCCCTTTCCCTCCTCCTTAACAACCTCACCATTGCTCTTACCACCATATAGCGTTTCCACGACAGGGTCATATGTCTTATCGACAAAATTCCTGATCCCGATTATAGACTCCGCTACTGGTCCGGCGAAGCCAGTTTCTCCACCCCATATAGTCGTCCATGGGCGTCCCTGAGTGTCCGTGATGCCTAGAGCGATTAGCGGCGATTTCTGAATGAGATATGCCGCGCCAGGACTGAGATAGGGAGTAGTGGGGTTATATTTTTCCGGGCTATGCATCAATTTGTGCATTTTCTTTTCGCCCTCGTGCCATGGCACGCTCCCTGCGATGACGAAAGACATGGGATCAATCGGAGATTTCGAATATGCTGGAGAGAGCTGTGCTAGTATAGAAATATTTGAATTGAATGTGTATCCGAGCGCCTTCGAAGAGTTCACCAGGGCAAGGGCGATAACACGTGTCAAGATGATGAATATGTTTTCCATCAGTCAGTGCTGAGAAGCACCAGTTAGAGACAACCGCCGCAATTGTTGTGGCATGCAAATATATTTGACTTTGATGGCCTTGTTGTATAGTATGGGTACATGGAGGACGATACTGGATAGACACCATGAGATACTACCACCACCTCGTTCTCAAGCTGGATTTATAAACGGATTTATAATTAGTTAAAGTTAACTAACTAGATCGGATTCCGCTTACGAAAGCTTGCGACAGCGACGGTTGGAAGGAAAGCATCGACAATAAAGAAATGCCATGACTTTAGATATATCGGATATAACCTCCAACTTACCCCTCTGTCCGTTAGACTTCCCCCACAAAAGGCTGATCTACCTTTCTCGGGAGACTTTAATGCGAAGGCGTCATCTGCACCATCTTGACAAATGGATATACTAGCATCCATGGATGATGACTGCCCCTCGACGCCCTGTGGTTGCCAATGTCGAGCAGTCTGGATGGAATCGAGGCTGCGATGATAACTAAAGTAAGCCGCTAACTTCGCGGGGGTGGTAGGTAAGTTAGGTTAACTAGTTAGTTTACTTCCAGACTCGCCCCCCCATACATTTCTTGGCATGCTCAGCCTCTCTTCTTGGATAAATATAATTAATAGTTAATATAAAAGATAATAAAGATAATAAATAGATATAAATACTATAAGTTTGATAAATTTAAATACTAATTTACAGTTATTATTATTATTATTATTACAAGCATCAAACGCTTGCCTACGCTCGCTTTGCTGCTTGCGCAGCCCCCCCTACCCTACCACTTCCACCCCTTACCCCTACCCCCCTTACCACCCCTACCACCCCTACCACCGTCATCAGATTAATCAGAGCCATACAGGCCGCAGAGCAGGCCGTTCAATCCCATGAATTCAAAGGGGTGCACATGACATCATGCATTTTACACAGAAAAGTTGGTTTTTCTATAATAAAGAGAGAGAAAGAGAGAGATAATATTTTTTAGCTCATAATTTGAAATGAACAGTGGTGCATGTCATGACCACAAAGATCAAAAATGAATATTGAAAAGAGTATAAGAAATATAAATACTGTAGAGAATGTATGAAAAGAGCAGAATGAAAAAAAGAATAAAGATTTGAAGATTGATCTGAGCTGTACAGGCCGGAGAGCAGAACTGAGTATTTAAATAGATAGATTTGATGAGGTCACATGATGTCAATGTTACAGCATTTTTTGCACGAAAAAGTTGGTTTTTCTATAATAAAGAGAGAGATTATTCTTCTTCTTCTTCTTCTTCTGATTCTTTATTTTATTTATATACAAGCAGAGCTTATACTGAGTTTTGTATAAATATGAAATACAGACTATGATTTAATTATATAGAAGTAAATACAGATGTTAAAATCATATTAAAATAATAAGAAATATAGAAAATATAAAGAGTGATAATTTGAAACTTATAAATACATAATATCAGCTCAGAATGTGAGATTAAATTTAATATAAGAATCTGAGATAATTCAGCTCTGATTTCAATCTTGACCTCATTGGATTTTTCAAACCTCATGCACCTTGGTTTCTCATGCTAAGAGTCTAAAGACACTACCTGGTGACTATAGTCTATATCAACCATTCAATTACTGAGAATTTGATTTACAGTAATATCATGTATCAGATCTAGTGCTAATGAGAAAATTAGATACTGCTTTTTGTAATTAATTATTATCACAGGTTTAAATGATTTGTGAAGAATAGAAAAATATAAAACAGCTGTATCATGTATGATAGCTAGTTCAACAGAGAGTGTTGAAGCTCTAGGCTTTCTAATAATATAGTTACATAGTTACAACTTACCTCACACTACTCTGGGAACTGTGAAATTCAATTTAGAAGTCAAAAATCTTAATTATTAAATTTTGAGAAAAAATTCATTAAAAAGTTTCATTAAATTTCTAATATTTTTATCTATATTATATAATAATATCTTCAATAACTATTGATGAAGATATTGAAGTTTAAAAAATCCGATTCAGGATCAATTCGAATTGATTCTACTCTGTTATACACACTGACTCTCTGCCAACCATGCATAAGCTATGGCGGCGTGATGGCGATGGCCTTGTAGTAGTGCCCGCCCAAAGCACTGGCAACCACAGACAAAAAACGCCTCTGATCTCATACTGATCTGCAACACCATTCTGCATGCTGGGGATGTTCGCATTGCTTCTACAGCTCCTTTTTCTTTCTCCCCGGCATACATACCTTTTTCAACGACGGGCCATTGGCCTCGTATTTTGAGACATTCTTCAGCATTGGTGACTTGACAGCGATTAGATGTGACATTCTAAGACAAATCCAATCTTCAGCCCAACGGCCTGTCACCAGCCGCAGAAAGACATGGCCCATATCGTACCAAAGAGTTGCTTCTCTGGGATATACGTGCAAGCTTGATGTCAAAGCTTGTTTATTTCAATGTATTTTGACAGTGTTGGAGTCTCGAATCTGACTGCAACCCGCTCAATTGGCCCCGGACTCTTTCCCCCATCGCTTTTGATCTGACAGGGCTGAGAGAAATTAAAGGAGGTTGGGGTTACTGGAGCCCAAAAATGGACAGCACAGCTTAAACCGAAGGATGGAAGCACCCGGTGGGCGCCAGCGTGGTACACGATGGGATCGGCCAATTAGTTCCACTGGTTGCGGAAGCTCACTCTTTGAGTTCCCCGTGCCTGTAACTTAGCTTTTTACGAGCTTCCATGCTACATACATGTTCCTGTGGAGGCGTGACATGGTTCCAAGATGGAAGCACCAAATTATTTGACAATGGGAAAATGGCACTACCGAAGCCCACCGATGCCGATGCTTGCTCTTCAGCTTGTCTGAGACATTGCTGTGCATACGAACGAAAGTCGCCGCTTGGATATTTCAATTCGTGACCTAGCTGCTCAGATATTGACCTTGGTTGATTCTTTACTCTTCTTGTTGATTCAACCCCATGCCAGCCCACGTCAATATCGGGTGACAAGCCTGCTTCCTATTTAACCGAATTTTGGGGCTATTGAGAGTTTTTGGGTACGGAATTCAATCCCAGCAGTTGCCAATAAAACGAGGAGGAGCACAAAAGTTCCATGACATGCCGAGAGAGAAGCATATCCCAACAATTGCCAGCCCTATGGGGGGCGCGGCGGTGGTGGCTCATGTTACTGTGTAGAACGCTCCTACTGGGAAGCGCATTCTCTTCAATCCAGTTCCCGTGGAATCATGTTGTATCACTGAGCTACTAGTCGCCAATAAAACCTGGGTCCATATTGGTCATGATACAAGATTGCTCATGCATTGGCTGGAAAGTGTATAAAGTCCCACTCCAGCCCTCCTCCGCTCCATTTCCCCTCATGAGTTTTATCCCCTATCCTCAGATTTGAATACCTAGCATTCCTCGTCTTGCAAGACACCACCCCATAATTATCACTCTTTGAAAGACAATGCGTCTCTCATCTACATTCGTTGGTGCCCTCGCCGCACTCGCCCCTACTGTTCAAGCAGTGGGCAAAGCCATCGTGGTCAACTACTGCCCCTTCGACGTCTACCTCAACTCTGTCGGCAGCGAAATTGGACCAGAACAGCACCTCAAGGCTTATGGCGGTACCTACAGTGAGCTATTTCGCCACGACCCCCGAAGTGGCGGTATCGCTATCAAGCTCACCCTCGAGCCAGGTGGCTTGCTGCACGGTGCACCACAAACCATCTTCGCCTATAACCTCGTCCTACCCGTGATCTGGTACGATTTGTCGGATGTTTTTGGTGACCCATTCGCCGGCTATCCTCTGAAACTCGCACCCTCAGACCCCAGCTGCCCAGTGCTCTTTTGGCCAGATGGCATCCCGCCTGGACCAAGCCAGGTGAGAAACTGCCAGTCGAAGTCGGATCTTACGCTGACATTGTGCGCATATCCTTTTAAGAAGGTATGTTTTTTCCTTTTTTCTTCCGTTTCCCCCTGGTTTGATGGGCACCGGAATTTCATCATGTGATGATTTGTCTTCGCCGGAACCCCAGAACTCTATGCCCTGAGATCTAGCTGACAGAAAAGAAAAGAAAGGAGAAGAAGAAGAAGCCTTTCTCGATTAGAGATACTCACCAGCCAACCTCTCTCCACGCAGTTAGTTTTCCACACGAGGTATAGGGAGAGAGAGAGAGAATGACCATACTATTGGTACGAGATACTATTTTTGTGAACTAATGTTTGAACGCCATGCCTTGACGCCCATTAATTTATATGATGTGCCAATGAGAACCAAAGCCAATTTACTCCTTGTTTCCCCCTATTTTTAAGCCCTCCCCCCCGGTTCCCTTCGCTCCTCGTATGTGTACGTACCTATGGCATGCAACATGTCTTACAGTCGTACGATGGAACGTAATATCTACTCGGTCCTCTGATGAATTGAAAAGATTGATTTTAAAATTTTTATATTCATTTATTCTTGGGGTTGATTTGTTTTTGTTTTATCTATAGTGACTAATCAACTCCGTGTGGGATGTTGATATATATATACCACTCTTTGAATATATCAGAGAAAAGGAACCAGGGTAAAACACAGGGAGAGGGTAGGAGCATCCCAGCTGTGCTAGATTTGTGAGAAGGGGGGAACTTACTAGAAATCCGTGTGACTGTAGATAGATCTTTGTAGTGTACATGTACGGCCTTGGTGGGGTGGAGGGAGTAGAGTACGGCCCCAGTCCATGAGTCTGCCTGCACGTAGGCCGTTGAGCACAATTTCCCTGGGACGAATATATAGTGGTGTCTTGTATACCCGCGGATGGGTTTCCGGATATTTTCTGGAGCGTCGACAATCTATCTACCGTATGGCTCAGTTCCTAAACGTTAGAAGATAGGGAGCCACGGAACAGGATGAGATTAAGGTTGAGCTGCATGTATCGATAGAAATAGCATTAATCTATTTCTTCAGGCCGCCGGCTCCCGTCTGCTGCTGAGGAAGAAATGTAGCCCGCGTGCTGGGTGAATAATCCCGCGGATTTCTATACATTTGTCCTTTGGAGGGTCCTCAACCTTTATTTAATCGTCGTATTTGGCCCCGCGCTACTATGCAAATCTGTCAGCGGGAAGCTAGGTACACCTAGGTAACTAGCAATCAAGACTGGGATATAGAATAGTGCCGAATAGAGAGGTTCATATAGAGATTATGGATTATTGGAGGTTCAATTTTGCACTAGATAACTTAATAATGGAAAAACTTTCATCTCCACCCAAGTTAATGAGATCGGGAACTAAGAAAGACTAATAATAATCTAACTTGGTTAAACTTGTTGGTGATTACTACACCTACCCTAGTCACATGCCACCCCAACCTATTTAGTGTAACTCGCGTAGTTAGAATACAACACAATAACATTATTCTCCAAGAGATTATGAAGCCCTCTACACAATGAAAAGCTGTAAAATAACATGCAAATTGACATCTTCATGTATCATTATGTGTGCCTAGATAATTTATTGATTAATTGAACCCATGATGAACCTGAGATCAGGTGAAAAGCCTGACTTAATAAAGAATTATATATCAACACATAGAAGAAGAAATTCATAAAGATCTGAAGTATAAGAAGAATTGAGTGTGAGCTTATCAATATCTGTAATGAACTGAAAAGTGACTATATCAAAGGCTTTTAAGCTGAATAATATAATTGTGAAAGAACAGTCTGATAAGTTTAATAATAAATATAAAGACCTGATTAAAGATATCAGTGAGATATCAGATAATGCAGAAAATTCAAGTGACTGAAATAATAATAGCTCTGTGAGTAAGAAGACTTATATAAGACTAGAAATTATAAGACTTCAGCATGAAGTTAAGTGAATAAAGATAGATAGAAATGAGAATAAAGAGCTTAATACAGATTTAATAAACTATTTTTAATAAAAGAATAGAATATCTATATTAATGAAGATTCTTAATGAATTCAGAGATTAAATAAAATCTATAAAGAAGTCTATTATACTCACTGACTCTGTAAATTACTTTATATAAAAGAAAGAGATTCTGCTTATAGTAAGATAATCTGAAATAAATAATATTCTTAATAATAAGCAGATTAATTCTGATGAGAATGTCAGTATAAATATACAATATTTTTAATCAGAATGAAATATCTGACTATATAACTATATATAGTCTGTAATTATCTCACAGATTAAATCTCACTTTATTATACTTAAGAAGTCTTAACTATCTGCTTATTCTCTATAATCTGTTATAGAGAATAATTTTACTGAGAGATCTGCTATCTGCAGAACTTATCTATTTCAAGAATTAATTAAGATAATATTAAAATCAAAGAGTTCTGATCACACATTTATTAAATATTTAATTATAATCAGAACTGATTATATCTGATTGAAATATAATATTAAAGATTTCATGTTTTTTAACAGATTTCTTACAGAGATTAGTAAAGATTGATTATCTTTTATAAAGAATTAAATAAATATAAAAGAGAAAAATAAGAATACTAGAACACTTAAAGATAATTTTATGAAATTATGTCAAGATATTCTTCTATAATTACTAGCTACTGATAAATCTTCTATCTCTGATAAAAAGATCTCTGTAAATAATACTCAAGATTTCAACAGAAAGAATAAAAAGAATAAAAAGAAGAAGAAGATCTCTGAGAACAAGAACAAAGATTTCATCAAGTCAGATAGAAAGAGTAATAATACTATTAAAATGTGTTATCATTATTAGAAGATTGACTACATTTAAACAGATTACTGATTGAAATTTTCTGAAAAACACTCTACTAGTCACAGTAAGAATAAGAATAAGAATGAAATAGACTCAGTGTCAGTTTATAATGTCATTGAGTAAGTATTTTATATAATAGAAACAGTCTATTCTACTGATTAAACTGACAAAGATATCTGAGTTCTGAACTCTGAATTCAGTGCTCATACTACATCTTGTAAGAATCTCATATCAATAGTGCTGCAGAAGATTAATATCATATTAAAGATGACTGACAGATTAACAGCTTCTATAACAGCTATAGAGAAGATGAATATCTCAGTTAAAGAAGTAAATCTGCTGCTGTAGAATATTCACTACATTTTCAAGCTGAAGATTAATTCTATAAGTTTTGAGAAGCTTGTATACCAGAGCTATACATATAAGTAACTGATCTATAGAAACACTCATTCAATCTTACTAATATCTTCTGATAAGATATTAAGTTTTACTGTTAAATTAAGTGATAAGAACATCTACATTCTGGAAAAATAATTAATAACTAGAGACTTGATTCAATTTGCAATGTTAAATGATGATTGCTTAATAAGAATATCAAGATTGTTGAACATATAATGTTATAATGACATTAAAAGCTTGATCATCTCAATTCCGTAAATATTGCTAAATTAGCAGCAGATTCATAACTGAGAATGAGAATTAAAAGTGACAGAGTTTTGTCATTGTATAAGACCTGTATACAGATAAAAATGACATATTCAACATTTATATTAATGATAAGAACTGTTAAACCTGCAATGAGATTCTTCATAAATCTTGCAGATGATGACTGTACACTATATAATGAAATCAATCTCTCTACTCATGAAGAAGCTAATTATTGAATGAGTATTACAGATGATATTACATACTACAGATGAATTATTCTTATAATGTTAAAAAGTGAGATCACTGTATATTTGATGATCTTTATTAACAGAATTGAGATCACTACTCAATGTTGAATTAAGACTTTACACTGAGATGATAAAGATAAATTTAAAAGTGATGAATTAAAGACCTACTGTCAGTGAAAAGAGATTATATATGAGATTACTACATCTGATACATCATAGTTCAATAGCTCTGTAGAATATATTAATTGTATTATAGATGAAAAGACAAGAAGCTTACTATTTAACAGCAGACTTGTAAGAGAACTTTGAGATGAAGCTATTCAAGTCACAGTTATAATAATCAACACATTTTCAACATCAATGAAGATTTACAGATGTCAGAGAGAGACCTTATTATCTTCTTTTAAAACTTAAACAGGTGTTCAACCTTCTGCTCATTGAATACATAGATAAGAATGTAAGATATATAAGAAGAATCTGAAGATTATCAATAAGTTTATGAATAGAACTGACAGTAAGTAATAATAATTAGTTAAATATCAAGAACTGTATTAATATCATATCTGAAACTCTATAATCTGAAAGCTTGAGATTGCAAGAGATGTTGTTTTTGATGAAGAATTAACTATAGAAGAAGTATCAGTGAATGTTATTAGAGAAGCATTTAAACTGTCAGAGAAATTGAATGTTCTTGACATTATAAAGAGATGATAACACTGTCTTCTAAGAAGACTTATAAAGAATAAACCTGATGTTTTAAAGATGCTTACTGATGATGATATGAACAGTGTGCTGAAACTGATATATTTACTAGATGATGAGACAGAACTTGTTAATAATAATATGAATAACTCTGTGAATAATGAAGATTCTGTACTCAGTGTTCTTAATAACTGTCTGATCACACTGACAGAGGTCAAAAGAAGCCATGACTGAGAACATTAACATCAGACAATGAAGAAGAAAGTGAAAACTTTTGAACAGAAGAAGATATATATTGTTGTTGAAAAAGCTCTGAAAATGAACATTCTTATAGATAAATAAGTGTATGATTGAAAATTGAATAATAAGTGTAATGTGACAGAACTAAAGCAGTGACTAGTCAGCAGTGTCACATAGAGATAGTTGTTTAAGAAGCTGTATAAATAAGCTTGACTATCTTGCTTGAATAGTGAGCTTATAGACTACAGAGTTATCACAAGAATATCACAGATACAGTACTTAGTATACTAAGAAAATTGTATAAGAAATGCAGTAACTCTCATATATATTTCAGTAGAAGAAAAATAAATCACTGACTTCTTTAATAAGAAGTCAGCATCTAGCTATTCTATATAGATAATGAGCAGATACTCTTCTCTCATTTCATGAGTAAGAATAGCTGAAGTGATATCTCAGTAGTTATTATTATTATTATTCTTCAATTATAGATGTATGCAGTCAGAGACTATGATATCTATCTGAGAACTAAAAGTTCTCAGGGTTTTTCCTATATCTATAAAGTTAACTATTATACATTCATCAATTTCAGATATGCAAAATCAGAAAATTCCAGCCCAGAATATAAAAACTGTTTACAAATTGCAGTATTTTAACATCTTCTGATACTTTGAAACCTTTTGACAATATCATGACAAAAGAAAAGAGAACACAGTCTTAAAGATAGACACATTAAATAGATAGATAGAAAAGAATAGAAAGGAAAAAGTAAAGTAAAATAAAGAGAGACTGTAACAAAACAAATTATTAAAAGATAGTATATAGCTGTTTTAACAGACTATATCTGATCAATTTCCTCCTCTTCATATGCAGATATTTCTGAATTCAGCCATTTTCTTATAGCTGCTTGAGTTTCTGATAGAAAGTCTATTAAGTATTTAATTCCTGTCTCAGTTGAGAATAAGAATCTCATATTTAATTAATTTAGATCATACTTCTCTTTTAATCTGAGTCTGAGCCTATTGTATAATGCACAGTGCATTACAATATACTCAGAATTCTCATTTATATTGCAGAATGAGCATTCTATTGAATCAAATCTATCATCAAATCTTTGTATATAAGATTTGAAATAGTCATGTTCTAGTTTCAGCTGTATTATAGATGAGAATATTTTCTTTTTACATTTAATTGAAGAAGATTTTCACTTGAGTTTTATTTCAAATCTTGAATAATGTATACTCTTCTTTTGTTTCTGCCAGCTTTCATTTCACTTGTTTAAACAAGATTCTTTTATTTTTCTCTTTATAAAAGATCAGAATATAATTTTT